GGAGGGGAGGGAAGGGAAGGGAAGGGAAGGGAAGGGAAGGGAAGGGAAGGGAAGGGAAGGGCACTCTCTATCCCATCTGCAATATGCCAACTGAAACCTAGTGAAGAAGGCTACCTAGCATATCCACACAGAGCTTTCTTAACTTAAAATTTTCCAAGGCAGTACAGGAAAAACCTCCAAAAAAGCTGCTCCACACCTTAATGGTAAATTTGATTTGTCCCTTTAAAAGAGCTTACAATTTGCCAAAAGTAACTAAATTATATTTCTGAATCATTCCATTGTTTTATTCCAAGTTCTACCTGAGGGCCTCCTATCAGGCAAATACATTCTCCTGCTGTGAGAAAGGAAAGGGTTAGGTCTGCTTACCAAGTACCACTGCTTTGTAAATAAAGGATCGTCCATGTTGATGTCAATTTCATTGATGTCTCTGTATCCTCTCTTCTTCCTCCCAAAACCTTCCTGCTGCACAGCTTTCTTTACCTGTAAAGGTCAATTACACACTCCATTGGGGCTTGTAAAAGAACACAAGCACTTTTGTTTCACTTACCTTATTTTACAATTAGAAGTGCAGGGGCAAAGATCCTAAAGAAGATGTTAATTTTATTTTTGGTTACATAGCATGGTCCTATGCAAGCACTCCATCTGAACTCAGGAGGGCACAAAGAGAAGGCCAAAATCTGGGTGCTGAGACAACCTTTGCTAGCTGCTCCCCTCCACACTCCCTGCATTATTTTACTAAAGTTCAGCAGCAGAACTTATGGTGGTTTATGGCTTCTTTCTGCTGTACTCATTAAATGTAATAACCTTTCAGGGTGGGGGATGGATTATTTGGAATTTAAGTATTTCTATTGGCCCCACCAACTTTTGCATCTTTTTCCTACTCAGCTTTATGTCATGGACAGCCTGATTTTATATCACAAGCAAGCCTAGTGTTACAACATGACCCTCGGCCAAAATAGTTTATGCAGCCCAGAAAAAGAACATCAAGTTCTTTTGTACCACATGCATATATTCTCATGGTTGCCTTTGAAGATGACTGAAAGAAATAATAATCAGATATGATTTGCAGTTTTTCCTTACCAATTATACCTATTTTCCCTTTATAGCCATCTATTTTTCTTTAAGTAGCTGAATACACTAAATTGAAAAATGCCACTCAGTTCTGAATGTAATCTGTAATTTAAAAAAAAAAATACTAGAATCCTCAGTCTAGTTCTTTCTCTGTTCATCTTTGCCTGACAAAAAATGCCTGATGAATGAACTTTTAATATAGGATTCTATTAAAATAAAGGATTCATATTGGGATACAAAATATATTAATATTATAGCATTTATTCTGTCCAAAATGAGACAATTTTATCAACCAATGAATGGGGCATAGCTTCGCTGTTGATTTGTGTTATTTGTTAGACCAGTTTAACTACCTCACACATAAATCCACACATCCAAGAATTCTGAAAACTGTAGTACTGTATGTTGATAGTAGGTCCCACTCAAAACTATGGGATGATATCTAATGGGCTTAGGATCAGTAAATTGCTTATACCTAGTAGGACTGCTGGCTCCTTCCAATAAACTGAGTTGGAAAGTCTTCTTCGCTTTTAAAAAAGCTTGCTATATAATAGGGAAAATTGCGGTGGGTGGGTGGAGGAGTCAAGGAGCTATGGCTGTATGTCTGTGTAACTAGTGTTTGGGGTTTGTTTGGATTCTAACTATAGTACTTAGGATCTCATTCTGAGCAATTATGAAAATTATGAAGATAAGTTCAGAGGATCTTATCATATCTCCTGCTAGATCATGTGTAATGTTTCCTCAAAAAAAATCTTGAAGAGATATAGTTTGTTATTAAAATAACTCTGAGAGAGAAGATGAGCTGAAATCTATTGATTAATGCAAAATCAAGGAAATACATTTCACTGCTAAGTAGGTATTTTAAGCTCGTTCTCCTCAGTCTTGACTAATGCTCTACCCAGCATAGCATGCTTTCACAGTCACCCAAATGTTGTAAAAAAGGGTGGTTAAGAAGTCTTTGGGGGGGGGGGGGACAGCACAACGATGAATAGCATAATTCTAGCACCAAAATACACTAGAAGTATTTATCCACACTTGCTTACACAGGTACTTGTGTCCCATCTTTCCACTTGCTGTTTCTAGGCTCAAGCTAGAGGTGCTACTCGCAGTTCACCCCTGTTCAAATACAATCAGGGAGTGGGAAAAATTTGGAGCAGTAAGAAAATAGTTCTGTAGAACAGTAGCCCTGGCTGAAATGTTCAAGTACAAACAGGAACAATTCAGCTGTTTGAACTTACTTGGTCAGGAGCCAAATTCAGCGACACAGATAATGCAAGCGTGGAATGTTCAGAGAAAGTTAACCACAAGCCTTTGTTTGTGTTCTCATATATTGGGCTATCTAATTATGAAATCTGCAGAGCTATAGCCAGTGAGAGCAAATAGCATAGATAAATACTTTTTAAAGCTTATAACTGAACAATGAGATACTATCATGCCACAAAGCATTACTGAGATAGACGGATTCAGAAAAGGATTAAAGAGTTACCACTGAAAATTTCATGATACGGATGAGCAAGATAGAGAGGAAATGAAAATGCAACTGCTGGCAACGAGCCAATTGTGAATGGTTTTAAAACCAAGCTGTAGCATCTTACAAAGGGTGAGCAATATGTGATGAGGCTAACATTCATGTCTTGGTCTCCCGCAGTATGAATTGAAATCCTTGGCTAGCCAATCCTGAAATGTAACACTATAGGTATTGAGACAGATGAAGAGGCAGCATTTTACAGGGCATAGCACAATTCAGTTAGGAAAGCTTGGGCTGATTTGAGCTAGAGCAGATTTTTTCCAGTGTGGGGACCTCCAAAATATAGGATGGGCAAATCTATCTCATATGATTTCTGAGAGACAGTTTGGTATAACGGTTAAAGCCCAGGGGTCATTGGTTGCCCTCTCCCCTCTTTGGAAGAATTTTATAGTTCCCGCTGCCTTAAGAAGGCTCAAAACATTCTTAAGGATCCATCCCACCCGGGATATTCTTTTTTTGAACTATTCCCATCTGGCAGATGGTACAGGATAATGAAAA